TCTAACGGAAGCCAAACAAACGCTACAGAACAATTAGCCAAATAGATAGAATGTACCGTTTATATTTTAACCAATATTTTGTTTTATAAAAGTTTATGCCCGGTTGCAAGACCTTTAGGTCAATCTAACCGATCGGGAATACGACATTCGTTTTTTGAAACTCATTATAGTTCTGTGTACTGAACTATAATACTCATTATAGTTCTATGTACATACAACGGCACATCAGACTACACATTTTTGTTGGAAAATCGCCTCCAGTGCAACAGAATTTTTTGAATTCTTTTAGAAATTGAACGGAAAAAAAATTGCAAGATACGGCAATGTGTAGCTTGATGTGCTGGCGTGTGTACATCATTTTTTTCAGTTCAGTAGCGAGTACCATACACAGTAGAATTTTTATTCAGAAATAAAAAGAGCGCCTTTGTGATATAATTTATTAAAATGTAATTAATTGATTGCTTTAAAGTACAGGAGTAGAAAAACATTTTTTAAATTTTAACTTTTATGAATGTAAAAAATTAAAAAAATTAAAAATTTAAAATAACCATAGCATTTACGGGAACTCATTTCAATCGCGGTATTAGTCGCTGTGCACAAAGTCATTAATGAAAACAGTTTTTATATTCAGAACAATATTACACAAAAGATCGATGTGACCATTGCACAAAATAATGCAAATATATTGGTAGAATTTCATTTTTAACAGACTCCAAAAAAGGAGGAGGCTCTCAATTCGATTGTATTGTTTTTTGTATGTATGTTACGCGAGTATTTTGTCATTTGTGAACCGATTTCGATGATTCTTGATTCTATTTGTTATAAAGAGGTATCTCAGTAGTGATCCCATCAAAATTTGAAGAAAATATTACACCTCTCAGGGTGGCAAATTTGTGTTTAATATTGCCAATGACCTATGGGCAACCAATCCTACTCTGTGATCAATTTTAGTACGCGCTCGTGTTTTTTTTTCTATTTTTGCATTAGCAACACTTCTGATTTAACGTAAAGTGATTTAAACGTTAGCAACACTTCTATTTGAACGTAAGGTGAATTTAACAAAAACTTATATTTAAATAGAATAGAATTTTCAAACACCTGTACTTTACATCGCCTACATTCACCCACACGCTGGCTACGAAAATACATAACATGTGGGTTTATAACGACCACTGCACTGTTTCATGGTCGTCTAAAAGCTGCTTTATTTTCACCACGAAACGTTTCTTTTAACCTGAGCTGTATAACACTTTTATGTTGCAAACTGTTAGTTATACTTTTAAGTCTATCAGTGTCGGCCTTTATTGGCAAATATATAACAGAAATACCGTCCTACAGACGTAATGTACATGGTGCAATAAAGACACATTAAACTTTACACAGAAAAAAATACGACTTTTATCAAACGGAAATAACATTTGGGATTTCTAACAAACCTTTCAGTCAGCTGTTTGAACTATTTTAATAGGAAGCTATAATACTTTGGTCACATGTATGTAGAAGCATTATTACGAGCAAAATAGAGGACAAACGGGAAAGAGGGCGAAATTCAAAACTATGGGGTGACCAGGCAGCTGAAAATCTCGCAATATTGATTGTCACACTCCACTTTGCCGAAGACTTGTCTGTTTTCTGTCACAACTCTCGTTGTGGAGAAGAGCTATTCCATCTTTCTTGTCTTATTACTACGTGGTAGCTTTCGAGATATTGGTACCTAAAGGTTTTTTAAGTAGTAAAAAAATATGACGACGTAACATGGTGACGAAATACTTTCATAGATTTCTCATCGATGGCGCTACGGCTAAAAAGTCGTTGAAAAACCAAATACAAAGGTACGACAACAAGACATAGAAAAATTCGTGAGATCCGCTGGTTCGTTCTGTGACGTAGTCGGCATAGCGTGTGCCACGGTTTGCTAGCAGACGTCGGTTCGAATCCGGCCGGATCGAAGGAATTTTTTCTAAGTGTTCGATTTTTGTATTAATAATTATAGTATAAAAATGTATTTTTTTTTAACGCACACGCTCTTGGTGCTTGTGGTGCTCTCTGCTGAACAACAGACGAGGTTCTGGCGACCGAGCAATGGCGGGTTAACCATACACCTGGCTGACCCTAATATACCCTCTAAAAGATCTATGACGGAAAGCAACGGGAAACTACAGTCGTTACATTTCCCTTGTTAGTCAATTTTATTGGAAGTAAGTACAGACAACTGTTCCGGCTAGCTCAGGACAAAGAAAGACATAGAAAGCTGACTGCCGACCTTCAATAATGTTGAGGCACTTGAAGAAGAATAAGAAGACACACTCATAGTCTTGATGTTATAAAAAAAGGGAAACCCTATGTCGCGGGTGCCATGGACTCACGCATAGACAATCACAAATTACATCCAATCTCACGAGAGAAACTTATGTAGGCCATACAAATATTTCTCAAAGCCCGGGTATCAAACCCGGGACCTCTGCAAGTGCAAGCAGTCAGTCATGGTAACCGTTCGGCCACAGATGTAGTTAGTTACATTAAGATAGAATTACGCTGATTTTGCTTAATAACTAAAGTAACTAATAAAATATATTAAAAAAATATTTGTAGAGTTCGTTTCTGTGGTCCCGTTATGTAAACTCAATTTCGCTAAAAATATCAATAACGGCAGTTATGATAAGGATGTCAGTATTGCAAGTGTAATTTCACAAAGACATGGTCCTCAGTAATGGGCGACCGATAAAGGCTTTGGTTGTTTGAAACATAAAAGCGTCTGGAAATTAAGAAAAAAGGCGTGTGTAATAATAATAAAAAGGCACTTTACCCACAAACACTGTCTCAGGCATGGTTTTCGTTCGTATTCTTTCGCTGTCGATTATGAACTACGAGCATCAACAGCAAGTAGAGGCACATTTTACACAATCGCTCTGTTCTTTGCCAACTAACTTTTGCTAATGAACTTGTATCGTCATCAGTGGGCGGTTCTTAGGAAGCTTGTATTATTCATTATGTGGACATTACACTCTAGTAGATACATACGTCATTCATTGATCTTTACGTTACCCAGTTCGTGAGTTTTGCTGTTGAAACAAACTGGTGACCGAGTCGTAACTAGGCTTTATGCTCGAGATTTCTCGAGTCGAGAAATTTGGCCAACTTCGAGGCAAGAAAAATTAAATTGCTTTTTTAATTCGCACCCCTCAGAAGAATGGCATAAGTGGAGTTACGGCGAACATGTGTATTGCTCCATTAGATACAGAAAAACACAACCCACGTCCTTTCCCATTCTTTCTTCTTCTTTCTTCTTCTTCTACAATATTAGTCGATAGAGTTATAAGAATTGGAGAGTTTGTGGGTTATATTTTTCTGTATCTAATGGAGCAATAAACGTTTTTGACGTAACTCCATGCCATTCTTCCATGAATGGTGCGAATTAACAAATAACGCATGACATTGCATCAGATCTTTGTAAGTCTTTGTAAGTCTCAGATTTCAGATCTTTGCTATTTAAAACTCTGAGTGGCACTGCAACTGCTATGGACAGACATGTCGCTTACCATCAGGCGCACGACTTGTTCGTCCCATCACTTAGTTTCAAAAAAAAAAAGTTTCGGGTCACTACCCAGAACACTCAAGCCAAAACCACTTAGAAAAAGTCATGTAAATTGTGTTCATGTAAATCATTGAAAATTTATATTTATAATTGGTTAAGCTGAATCTATAAGGTTTTTAAAAATTTCTCGAACACCTCGACAAACTCAAGAAATTGGGAACGAGAATTCTCGAGACTCGAGAAAAAAGTATATCGAGAAATCAGAAACCCTAGACGTAACAGAATTACTTATGATTTTACAATGCTTTTATGACGAATTGTTACATCAGTGACATTACGAGTTTGTACGTATTACAATGCACCACTGCTTATATTCGTTTAATCGCACAGACGTGTTACATAGTTCATAATTATTGAAGTAAGTAAACGTTTGTAATAGGATATTTCAGTATTCATGGACTTGCAGATCAATATGCAATTAACGATGTGCGATGACAGATAGCAACACGGCAGGCTATTTTGCGTTCCAGTGAACCGGACAAATGTTAATCACATTGCAATTATACGAAAGACGTCACATGGAAAGCCTCTATTCATCTACCAGTTTGTTTGACAGAATAGGCATAGATGTAACCATTTTTAAAAGAAAACTACGTGAAATTACCACTACATACGAAGTTTTATAGGTCGCCAGAATGCTACTGCTAATATTAAAAATTATCACTAAATGACGCCACATGTATTTAAAAACGCGCTGTCATAATATTGTCTGGCCGAAATGAAACCTGTTACATTCACTGTTAAAACATGCTATGAACTATACTCCGTCCAACTATTTCCGTAATAAGTTCCGTAATTATTGACACACAACCATAGACAAATGAATGCAATACTTCCTGGACTCTTTTAATTTTAGTGAAGAGATGTGCTCTTTAGCCGCGATATTTATCGAGCCAACAGATTATGTAACAAAATTATTCAAGTTGATAAATTTTGGTACCTGTCAAATAAATTATAATGAAATTAAATAAATTATAAACAATTAAAATACACTTTTATTGTTTATTATAATGAATCGTCGGATTCTTCTCCATATGAACGGGAATCATCACTTGAATCCTCATTAATATTAATTATTAATTCTTGAGTACACAAATTGTCAAACGCAACATCACGGTCCCAATCAGACAATATCTTTTTTTGAACCCACTCACATTCACGATTGAAACTTATTCATATATAAAATTGATTGTTATATAAGAATCGCATCAGAAACGCATTAGGACATCACTAATTGAGTAGAATTCGAGCTGTCAAAAGTTAAATAAATGGTTGGACTGAGTATAAGTTATTAAAACATGACGATGTGATATTTCAAATGAAAACTGACGTTAAATATTGTTGATTTTTTATTCGGGAATGCCTGGTAATATGGTAAAGCCATGGTTACACCTACACCGTGTACCTTTAGTAGCTTGCATAAATTCAGAGTAAACATTTCCGGTAGTATTCAGTTGGCCATCCCAGCTTCGCGCTGACCGCATGCGCGCCTGCTCAGGAGGCCAATGACGATCAAACCGATGGTCCATGTGCACGAGTGTCTCGAGAATCGCCTGCACTTGTGTAGGATCTAACTCTGCCAAGCAGGCGCGGATTAGTTGCGTTAGTAAGCTTATATCTTGCAACGGGCTCAAACAATCGGAAAGGAAAAGACTGTTTCAAATTTCGAACCTTGATGTAATTCATAGGTATTTTATTTAGTAGGGTATTTATTTGTAAAAGTTATGATCTTATTTTGCAAAGAAAGGAACGAATACTAAATAGAATCTGGGTTATCATACCACAGCACGTCAATTCACTCATATAATAATTAATAATAGAAATTGAATAGAAAGTAAATAAACATAGAATTTATAGATATTAAAAGAAATAAAAAAAAACACAAATAACCTTGTTACAATGATATAAGGCACTTACTGGGGTAGCCCATACGCGAGCGCTCTTCTTCTTCGAGCATACGCAGTACGGCCGAGTTAGCGAGATTCGCCGGCTTGTCGGTTGAAGGATTGCTGAAATCGATTCTGTAACAAAAAGAAATAATCTAAATATTATATTTTTTTCCGCAGCGTCATATGTAAATTCATGAAACTATTTCTTCACCTTTACGGCTACCAGAAGCTGGCTAGAGAGATGTCGTTTTTAAGTAATTAAGTTTGTATTGAATGTCGGATGTCTCACCAACATGATATTCAAACATTTCTTGTGAAATTACTCCAAAAGGTTGTTATAATTATTCATACAAAGATCGAACAGTTTCAAAAAATTCCTCCGGTATATAATTGTTATATTTCAATTTCAATTAAATTCCCTAAATGTATAATTATTATTTTCAGCATTAATGTCGTTAAATGCGACTAGAAACATTGTTGTGTATTACGTTTTAAAAGATAAATAAATAAATAAAATAACATAAATAAAGAAAGTAACTATGTCCACCGCGTTGATGTCTTTTGTATGAACCACTTAAATATGTTTTTCCTTCATCGTGTTGCTACGAAGTTCAAAAAGTAGTAGGTCTATGTTATGTCAGTGCAATAATAAATCAACTGTTTTAACTCTACTGAGGACACTCAGAGAACGGAAATATAACGACCCATATATATTCTTTATTGTGCCAAATAAATAGATAAATATATAAAACAGAAGAAATATTAGTTCAACAAAAAGTGAGCAATTTAAACAAATTAATTTGAAATTAATTTTAAATTTTCATTGAATTGATATTCAATTATTTTTATGTGAAATTACTCCACTAGTTTGTTATAATAATTAATACAAAAATCGAACACTCAGAAAAAAATTCCTTCGATCCGGCCGGATTCGAACCGACGTCTTCTAGCATACTGTGCCAGATGATATACCAACTAAGCCACGGAACGAACCAGCGGACCTCACGAATTTTTCTATGTGCTTGCGTCGTATCTTTGTATGCGGTTTTTCAACGACTTTTTATCCGTAGCCCCATCTATGAGAAATCTATGATATTTCGTCACCCACTTAGATACCTTTACAGCCACCAGCTAGAGCTAGAGCCCCGGCTAGAGATGACGCTATTCATTGTATTTAAATTTTCATTGAATGGACATTCAATTATTTTTATGTGAAATTACTCCACTAGTTTGTTATTATTATACAAAGATCGAACACTCAGAAAAAAATCCTTCGATGCGGCCGGATTCGAACCGACGTCTTCTAGCAAACCGTGCCAGACGTTACACCAACTGAGCCACGGAACGAACCAGCGGACCTCACGAATTTTTCTATGTGCTTAATCGCTCTCCTGGGATATTTTCCAAATGCACGTTAGATGTTTTACCTTTCCAATGTCAATCCATTGAAACAGAAAAAATGTTTCTTACTATTATTGTAAATATCCGTCAAAGGAAAAGGGACTACTACAATTTATTAAAGAGAACTTGTTAACCCTTCCGTCCTTTTATATCGTGGAAGAAGCATTGTTTGTTCGTAAGCGACCGACATACTTTGTATTTTACAAAAATCCCCGTCGCCAGAATAACGTGATCCTTTCTCAACCAAAATTAGAAATATACAAAAACAGCCCATTGTACAGATCTATTTTAATCTATAATAAAATTCCAGTATTATTTAAAAATAAAATAACATAAGCACATAATATAAAATAAACTCATGTGTCTCATTCAAAAATCATACTTCTCTATAGATGAATTTCTAACAAAAAAATAAAGTTACAACTTACGGAGAGCTCACGTCGATTTTATTTATTAATTAAGTAAAATAATTTAACAATTCGATTTTAAGTCTCTTTGCTACAACCTGATAAGTTTTTTTTAATGTACATGTGCAATATACCAAATAAACGAATGAACTGTTAAGATATCCATAATATTTATTAACTTTAGAAGTAAATCCAAACTCATGGTACCACGATTTCGTTTAACTAAAGTAAACGATTCTTTTATGGGGAACTGTATACTTTTTTATAATAAACTTCCGAAGCGTATGTTGTGAAGACTATGTGTTAGAACGCCCCCTTGTGGGCGCTACAGGCCTAGAAAAATATGTGGGCGTTGTGTAGCGGCTTAGGGGGAGATTTGTAATTTCATCTAGGAAGACTCTTAGACACCGACTACAACTTGTGAACATCAACTAATATTAATTAAGAGATTGCTCAAACTGACTCTGTTCGATATTTCTCTCTGTGTAGTTCATACATCTGTCCTGTTTTATTGAATAAAAAAATAAAAATCATGTCAATCGGTCGCTCCGTTTCGAAATGAAAGTAGTCACAAACAAACAAATAAAAAGACAACAGATACAATTTCGCATTTTAATAGTTATTAGTATTCCTAGATTGGTAATTTTCGTAGATGATAGACCGCGGGCATGTTTTAACAAGTTTTTGTTAAATAACTCGATTTGTGGATTCCTGTATCAATCGGCTGGTTCATAGAATACTTGTTCTTACTTGTTGAGTACGATTGAGCGTCGAATGAGATAAACGAGTTTATGCATGTTTGTCTTCTCCTGTCGGTGCGAACTGCTTATGCAATCCTATATAAATAACGTAATATTTATTTTATTTTCATTTGCGGTTTCCCGTGTAATAGATAAGCAGTACTTAAGTTCAACACTTAGTTACGTATTTCTCAAAACAAAACAATGTCGGAAGTAAAAAAGAAGAGATGGCAATACTGTGCGGAATATATTAAATTCGGATTCATTGAAAATCCCACAAACCCATCGTCGCCTTTGAGCCTTCTATGTCTTAAAACATTTTCGAATGAAGCAATGAAGCCTTCAAGACTGCAAGATCATTTGAATAAAATGCATCCAGATAAGAAAGACAAGAATGTAGCATATTTTCAAGACCTAGAGAAGAAGCATAATACTCAGCCAAGTGTAGCAAAACTCTTTTCGGCGGCTGCTAAGCAAGATGACGACGGACTTCGAGCTTCGTACAATATCTCTTTGTTAAGAGTTAATTTTGCCGGCAATAAAGGAAGTAATAACTACTGTGCTTCGTAAACCGACCGCAGATATTATCCGAAAAATTCTTTGAGTAATAATTCTGTGCAAAGACGAATTGATGAAATGGCTGAAAACATTGAAGAATGTGCAATCGTTTGAGGACTATTCATTCTCAATTCAGCTCGATGAGTCCACTTTACCAACTAATGAAGCATTGTTGCTGTCTTATGTGAGGTTTATTAAAGATGAGAAAATTTGTGAAGAACTATTGCTTGCTAGAAATTTAGAGACCGATACAAAAGGCGAAACCATATTCAATACATTGGAAAAGTTTTGTGATGAGAAAGAGATTCCCTTGAAAAATATTATATCAATTGCTACGGATGGCGCTCCGGCTATGACAGGGTGTCATAAAGGCTTCATAGCGTACTTAAAAAATAAAATTCCAGATGTCCTTGCTGTACATTGCGTTATTCATAGACAACATTTGGTTGCTAGAAATTTAAGTGAACGACTATTTCAATCAGTGCAATATGTCATCAAAGCAGTCAATAAAATCCATAACAGCTCTTTGAATGATAGACTATTTCATCAGCTTTGTGTTACTAATGATGAAGATTTCAACCGTTTGTTGTTTCATACTGAAGTTCGTTGGCTATCAAGAGGCAATTGTCTGACTCGATTTTACAACCTGTTTGAATTTGTTTACCAAATAAGTTTGGGAACCCCTGTGTTTGATAAAGACGTAGGGTGAAACAACTGGGCTCTAGATTCCACATAAATTTGATGTAGTTTCTTGCTCGTTATTTTCAGCGCAGTGAATGAGCAGTAGCTTAAAAAAATACCTTTTCCAGTGTAAATTTATTTCACCTATTGAATAAATGATTATTAAACCCTAACTTAAATAACTAATTACTAACAAGAACTTCTCTACTTTGTACATCACAAGAATTAATTACTACATCAAAATAAAATAAAATGCTTATAGTCTATAGCCAGGGTGCTTAGAAAAGTACCACAACAATGATTTCCCAAGAATTAGTGCTAAATAACGTATTAACCCCACGCGAATAACGACTATATACTCGTACGCGTAAAGCTTTACAAAGTTACTACAAAACATTATGTATGTTCAATTAATATTTTTTTTATTTAGTAAATGTAAATGTTCAATTTACTTTCAATTCATATTAGTAGAGCTCCTTGTGAAAGAGTTCGTCCAGGGTACTGCTAACGTACCTATTTCTGTCGCCAAGCAGTAATGTGAGTTTATTACTGTGTCACGGTTTTGAGGGGATGATGGTGAATTACAGACACGTGGGACTCGTCAACTTATGTCTCAGTGTGATGGGCGCAGTGGCAGTGTCCTTCAGATCTTCGCGATTTAAAACTCTAAGTAACACTGCAACTGCTGTGGACAGGCGCCCTTAGCAGTTAAAATAAATTATTTGCTAGTAGAGTAAAATTATAAGCATAATTAACATAACATTGTAATATATCAGTAATACGCAGTGGCAGTGCCCCTCAAATCTTTGCGACTTAGCTCTGAGCGACACAGTAACAGTTATATGGACAAATAACTCGCTTAAGAGCTCTCATGCCAAAAATGTTTTGACGTTGGCTCCGCCCAAATTTGTGACACAAATATATGCCTGAAGTTCGCGTGACATGCGACAGGAGATGTTGAATTTTGCGCATTAAAAGTACCAAATTCGTTTTAGCGGAATAACTGTAAAACTAAAGGGATTAAAAAAAAATCCGTAGTGACAGTTGTCGATCATGCATAAATATAATTAAGTATCTAATTTTTGTCCTAATAACCTGTAGCATTTCGAGGATAAATCGAAAAAATGCGAAAATTAAAGGACATTTCGTGATTTTTATCTATCGAGGAAACTTTATTGTTTTATGTTTCTGATTAATGTCTATGCTTGGATACATCGTGTAGTTACTCATACAATATTTTATTTTTAACTTTAAAGTGGTTATACCCCTCTAAAATCAGATTAGGAATTTTTCCTCTGCTCCTCATCTTGTCACTTAATATCGTAAAAAAAATAGACAACAATCA